GGGTGGTTGGATGTGGGTGGACATTAGGGGGAGCCAAGGACAGCTCTCTGTCGTCTGGCCCGGAACCCAGGACGTTCACTGAGGAAATGTGGGGCTGGGACCTGGAGGCCAGGTGTGTGGGGCGACGCCTGGCCAGAGGGCGGGCCCTGAGCGGGAGGCGGCTGCTGCCTGGCAGGGGCCCGCAGCCGTCGGGAGAAGCCTGAGGCGGTGTTCATGTGTGTAGGCTGGGGCTGGGCTCCTCCCAGGGTGGACACCACCGCCCTCCAGAGTGGCCTGGGTGGACGGTGAGGACCTGTGGGCATGACTCACCCTCCTGCGTGTGGCTCCTCTGGCCCAGGCAGAGCACTGGAAAAAGACCCCGTGAGAAAGTCACCCACAGTGCAGGGTCCTCGAGGGGCATCAAGGGTCAGCTTGACCAGGGAAGGACTCAGCTGCCTGGATCCCACCTCCCGACCCACACTGCTCTCTGCTGGTGGTTTCCTTGCTCAATAGCAGGTCCAGACAGGCTCTGGGCCTTTTCTAACTTCCCCCACGTGACCACGGCAGGTCGTGGGTTCCGGAAGGTGTTCCCAGTGAGGTATTTCACAGCTAGACTGCACACGTGTCCAGGTTAGCCCACGTGGCCACTGTCCGCAGGACGGGTACACAGACCGACAGCACTCAGCTGGCAGAAGCAGGCAGACCCACACAGCGCCTGATACACAGCGAGGTACCTGACTGACAGACATGACAACGGCTGGAGAGTGGGTGGTGGATGGACTGACGGGTGGGTGACGGATAGATGGACAGACGGATGGGGGCAAGTGGACTTCGGATGAAACCTAGAAGCCCACACGGGGTCACCGGGGGCTGGAAACCTCCTGTCAGGGATTCTGGTCCTGACGGGCTCCTGGTTTCCCTAAGACACTGTCACACTAACTGCTAGGACCCTCGTGGGAGGGAGGTGACCAGCTCCTGACGACCTAGCATCATCTCATCTGTAGGCGCCCGCGCAGGGCTGTTTGTACACGGCGAGGACATTCGCTCCAATTCCACCCTGTCCCCCAGGGCAGTGACCCTGGTCAGCTCTGGGCCCTGGTCCCGCCTGCCCCTGCTCTCTTGCTGGGGCCCTGGACCTGAGCCCTGCTCTGCCACCTGGCCCTCAGGCAGGCTCCATCCCTGGGGAGCACTAAGGGATGTGTGGGACAGGGCAGGTGGTGGCACGTTGGCCTCCTGATGCCCAGCTGGCCCCTTCTGATCTGACGGCTCCCAGGCCAACAGAGGCCCGTGCACCCAGACCACTGGGCAGGCCTTGATGGGTGGTTCTGGGACTGGTGGACTGTAGCCCCCGGTGGTTCTGGGTGTGGCTGGATTCTTGTCTGGACTCTGATGGGCTTCCTGGGGCCCATGTAGGCCCAAGGGCTCCGAGGCTCAGGAAGGGGGTCTAGAGCCCCGCCCCTGACCTCTGTGGCTCGCCCCCCCTCCCCCTCTCTGTTCCTGGAAGCCGGCACCTCCCCCAGGACCCAGGATGTGGCTCTCTGCAGTCCTTGGCTCCCAGTGCTGCTGTCCAGCCCCAGGGAGCTGCTGCGTGTCAGGGACACCTCTTCTCTTCACCTTCTCAGCCGGGTCCTGTGCCGCCCGCTGGGGAAGCCTCCGTTGGGCTCTGAGTCTCTGGTGGCCTCCTCTGGCAGCCCAGGCGCCTGCTCACCCTGGGGACGCAGCCAGGAGCCAGCTCTGTCCCAGGGCGCCTAAGGACACCATGGCCTCCTGGGTAAGGGACCAGCCCCCTGAAGAGGAGACGGACAAGGAGACCGTGGTATGGAGGGAAGGAAATGAGCCTGAGGGGACGGCTGGGGGAGCCTGGGCTCCAGGCAGAGCTGGGGGTGGGGAGGTGCCCGTAGTGTTCTGGGGGTGGCAAGATGGGGTCTGATGGAGAAGGAGGGGGTGCCCAATCTCAGCCGGGTGGCTCCTGAGTCCGGGTGGGCTCAGCCTCTGCAGAGCTGAGGCCTGTGACTCCCCCCAGACTCTGACCTCAAGCCCAGGGGGAGGCCACCCAGGGGCCGTGTTTCTTCAAGGAGAAATGCCCTGAGCTCTTGGGGTCGTTGATGACTCAAGGCCAAGTGCTGTGTGACTCTTGGTCAGACCCTCCCCCAGAGAGGCCCAGACCTCAGGTCACCCCTTCATAAAATGCTCCCGTTGACCAACCCTGCTCCTGCGTCCCTGGGCTCCCTTCCGCCTTGACCTGGCTCTGGGCTTGTCTTGTCCTCCATGGTGTCAGTGTGACCCTCCACCTGCTCACCCTGGGGTCTGATGGGTCCCCACCACCAGCTGGTGCCTGGGCACCTGACTGCCCTCAGCAAGAATCCTGCCCCCTTGGCTCAGGGAGCCCCTCTCGACACCTCCTCTGGTATTTGTCCACCCGCTGACCCCCCTCCCCCGTCCCCGATGCACGCACTCTGCCCCAGCTGCACTCAGAGTTCAGCTGGGTTTTGTTTCACTGCAAGATCCCACCACGGTGGTCCCCCCACCTGTCACAATGGTCCCCTAAGGTAAGGCCTTCCTTGCTGTGCGTGGACAAGTGCCAGTGGATCTTGTTCCTTAACACCGCCCTCTGGCCCAGGGCTCTAAGGAAGGAGTCAGCCTGGGCTCTGCCCTGGACAGAACCGGGAAGCGCCTGCTCATGGTGTAGGGCATCCCTAGGGGCTGCCGGTGTCTGGGCTCAGCCGTGGGGTCCACTCTGCTCATAAGAGCCCTTCTCTTCCTGTGTGAAGACAGCCCCCTTGATTCCCAAAGAAACTGGGAGAAAAGGCCCCTGTGGAAACTCACTCACTACACACTAAAAGCAGAAGCAGCAGGTACGCAGCACTGCGGCCCACGACCCGCCAATCATGCCTACTACTGCCCCTGGGAAGGCTGGCCAGCAGGGAGGGTGCGTTACTATTAGATGCCACCCCTGTGAGAGGGGCGTGTGCTCAGCCCAATGTGCTACAGACCCACCACGGTCCAAAAAGTGTGAGGGTGGACGGTGCCTTTGATGGAGTAGGTGAACAATCACTGTATGCATAGAAATACGCACGGAAACTGGGACGAATGAAGACGTCCCTCAGGCAAGTGGCCCAGCACTTTCCATGCACTGGACTTCTCTCTATTTTGTTGAAGCATCATTAAAAACACAAGAAGGGACACTTCACTCCTCAGGAAACTAAAACAGGGGAAGTGCTACTTCATGGGAGTGCAGGGGCCATCACAGATATGTGTGCACGGGTGTGCATGTGTGTGTTGTGTGTGCATGTGTGTGTTGTGTGTGTGCATATTGTGTGTTGTGCATGTGTGTGTTGTGTGTATGCATGTGTGTGTTGTGTGTGTGCATGTGTTGTGCATGTGTGTGTTGTGTGTATGCATGTGTGTGTTGTGTGTGTGCATGTGTTGTGCATGTGTGTGTATTGTGTGTGTGCATGTGTGTGTTGTGTGTGTGCGCGTGTGTGTGTGTGTTCCAAGGTCGTGATGCAACTTGGCTCAGCAGGAGAAATACAACGTCTCTGGTCCGTCTCATAAGCTGCCTCCTCCATCACTGCCCTCTTGGCTCCCCCCAGGTTAAAACGTCATGATAGCCACCCTCTCGAGGTCTAGTCCATCTCTGGCCCCCCCTCCCCATCTCCTTCCTGGGTGGTGTCCTGCTGGAGGGAGCAGGTGACCCAGGTGGTGTTGGGTCCTCCCGCTGGTCCTCTGGTCAGACTGACTGAGGTCTCACTTGCTTGCCAGGTGGAGGGGGCCACCTAAGTCTGTGGGTAAAGATTGGGGCTCCCTCCCCTCCCTGCTCCCTTGAACCTGGCGACACTTCTTGTGAACTAAGCGTCCACTTTGTCCAAGGGTCCTGGACCTCCGTGAGCATCTGCTCCTGCCCCAACTGGTCAGGTGCCATCTCTCTTTGATGGGCCAGCAGGGGATCCCTGGCTTGGGTCCCCAGACAGGGTTCTCAGAACTGGGAGGGGGGTCCCTAGTCAAGGGGGTCCTTCCCTCCCCTGGCCACTCCGCTGGCCTGACCCTGGGTGTGCTAGCTAGTGCTGCCTCCTGCAGCGGCTGTCTGGAGCCTGGAGATTGCTCTCTTGCCTCTCGCCCCTGGACTGTGTCCTGTAGGTCCGGGGGTCAGGGAGGAAGGCCAGTCCTGTCCCTGCTGTTCTGTCCTCTCCCTGGCCCTCCTCCTCCCACTGCCCCTCAGGAAAGAAAATATGGTGTCATGTTTAGCTCCTGTCCCGCCTTCCAGAGGCCACAGTGCCACTCTGGGGGTCGCAGGGCCTGGTGTGCACCTGTGCCCAGGGAGTGGTGGAAAATAGAAGGACCCCCCCCTCCGCCCCGCAATGCCAGGGTCCATCCTCTGCTAAGAGCCTCCAGCCACCTGTCCAGCTCTGCGCCAGCAGGATTCTTGGAGAAACCCCGGGATGAAGCTGAAGAATACCTGGGACAGACACGGAGAGGAGTTGGACCCGTCTAACAGAAAGTCGCTCTCGCTGTCGCAGCAGGGAACCAGATACGGGGCAGGGGCAGCAGGCAGATCCCCGCAGAAAGCCAACCGCAGGGAGCGGAAAATGAAAGAGCAGACCAAGGAGGGTCATCGGAGGTGGACACCAGGCTCTGAGCCGGACAAGGACCCCGTCGGCCCAGCGACGCACCAAGACTGCCCGTGCGCAGTCCCTAGGTCCCAGCAAAGCAGAGAATGCGGCGCTGTGGACGGTGGGACAAGGGAATGCCCTGATGTTGGCGTCGAACCCAGATGGCCATCAGCCCTGGAAGAGCCAGCTGAATTTTGTTCTCTTTTTAAATATTCTCTTTTCTGTACGAGCACGCGCGGACACACACACACACACACACACACACACACACACACACACGGTTTAAATCTCGCCCTATAACAGGTTTGCAGGATCCTGTTATTGTATTCTTTTCTTTGACGATTGTATAAATGTCTGATATCCCGTGAAGGGCTCATAATTTTAAGACATGCACACACACACAAAAAGTTCTCCGTTCCTTTGGGATTCTTGATTTTTATTTATTTGTTTGTTGATTGATTGATTGATTTTTGAGACAGACACACATATTAATCAAGATGAGGCACTCCCGCCCCCTAGTGGTCCACGGGGTAATTGTTCTATTTTAATCTAAAACGGGAGCACCTCACCCCGTGAGTGGTCCCATCCCACAGGTACTCAGGGTTTTCCTGGGGTGTGAGAGTGCGTGTGTGCAATGTGCCTGTGCGTGCACGGAAGCGTGGGCCGTGTGTGTGAAGGCATGTGTTAGGGGTGCCTGTGTGCCTGGATGTGCATGAGTGTGGTGGGGGTGGGTGGGGCAGCCTTTGCCCTCTGCACCTCCCTTTAGACCCCCTCCCTTCTCCACCCCGACCCTCATGCTCCATCAGGAAACATGACCGGCTTCCAGTCGTCAGATGAGCAAGTCCCGGGATCTAACGTGCAGCATGCAGGTGCAGCTGTGCTGAGGGTTTGATTCTGGAAATCTACAGGGCGCATGCCTGGGTCAGGTCCTCATGGCGCACACCCCGAATATATGCAGCCTTGCTCAATTCGATATGTTCTGCAGAAAACAGGAAGCACTGACAGCCCTCGTAGCCCTCACTCTGCTCTGAACAGCTGAGATTGCAGACACTGGGTCCACATGAACCTCTCTGGCCTGACCACCGGGGCTGGGATGTTCTGTTTTAAAGATGTCCATTGATGTACCAAGTGAGGTCTGGCCCAGAGATCCGGCTCAGCTCTGGGCAGCCTGAGTGCAGCCCAGTCTCAGTCAGGGTCAGCACTGGAACCCAGGGAGGCCGTTAGGGACCACTGAGCATCATCAGTATGCCGTCTCTGAAGTAGGTGGGGATCCCAGGAGTGGCCTTTGCTGGTTCTCTGGAAGCAGCCCTAGGATGAGACGTCGGTTTCTGGTCTCTGGAAACAGCCAGGGACTGAGGTTGGGTCTCTGGAAGTAGCTGTGACACAGCCTCTCTGACAGCTGGTCAGCTGTGGCAGGGGCCACCTGGTGGATGAATCTCCCAGATGCTGCTCAGAGACCTCCAGGCCCCAGCTGCTGTCCCCAGCAGAGCTGACTGGCTGACTTTGAGTCCAAGAGAAGTCCTCCCAATGGCTGCTTCAGGCTTTTGGAAGAGTGGCTTGGAGTGTCCTCAGGCCCAGGAGTCAGTGTCTGGCAACGGTCGCATATGTGCTGGGCTCTGGGGTCAGTGGGGACCCAGCTCGGGCTGCCCTCTCTGTGAGGGCTCCGTGGTCCAGCTGAGCATATGTCACCTCCTGGGGATCTCTTGCAGCAGGGGCCTGAGGGAGAGGGACCCTGGATGAGGGTGGGGGCTGTGGGGTGGGGGACTATGGCAGCCACCTCCCAGGGCCCCACCTCCTGGATCACATCATCTTGCAGTCCCTGCACACAGGGTACCAGGGCTGATCTGTGGGACCACCAGAAGTGGCAGAAGTGGTGGCAGGTCACTCCAGTGAGGCCACAGAAGACAGTGTGCCCTCTGCCCATCCCAGTCCAGGTTTCCCTCTGGGTAAGCCATCTGCTGTGGGGTGTGCCACCTTGGATGTGGGGTACACCACCTTGGACGTGAGTCCTCCTGCCCAGGCAGGCCTGCAGATTCCTGCAACCTAGTGGACACCTCTACTGCAGCGTCATGAGAGACCTGAGCCAGAACCAGCCAGTTCAGCTGCTCCCAACGTCCTGACCCAAGAAATGGGGACAGTGTTGCTGGGCTGCTAATCTGGGGACTTCCTTATGCAGCGGGAGATGACCCAGGCAGACTTACAGGGTTTCCGGTCTCCCTGTCCTTCTCAGGGAGTCTATCAGCCGTGGCCAAGTCTGGAGGGAAGAAGACACGTGGTCAGTTCTCTGGGGTGGACAGAAGGTCAGCTTGATCAGATCTCATTCCGTACCCACCTGGAACCTCCCAGAAAGGCCCTAAACCTGCTCCTCCCCTGCTGCCTCCTGACCCCTTGAGCCCCCACTTCCCTCTCCAGGCCTGTCCCCCCTCTCAGGCCTTTACCTGGTGACCTCTCCAGGCTGTCCACAGCCAGGCCCAGCCTGTGGGAAGGAACAAGTCAGCACTAGGGCAGCCAGAGGCTGAGGACTGGGCGGGGGCCGGGGTCATTCCCAGGGGCCTCACCTCTCCTGTGGCTTCTGCAACTGGCCCTTGCCACCGGGAGGCCCTGAGGACAGTCAGGGTCTGAGTTTAGGAGGGAGGCCTTGTCCCCAGCACCGACAGCCCGCCCAGCCGCCCGCCGGCCCTTCCCGGGAAGTCCTACCCTGCTTCCTCTGACGCTGGCGATGGAGGCAGAAGAGGAGCAGGAGGAGGAGACACAGGAGCAAGGCCAGGGGGACCCCGATGAGAAGGTAGAGGTGCTCCTTGGTCAGGAGTAGAGCAGGGGAGGCTGGGGGTGGGACGGGTGTGAGCACCCCGCACAGCCCCCGGTGCTGCTGCTGGGCGTGGACGTGAGACCTCCTGGGCACAGCTCTGCTGCCACGGGGAGTCACTCTCATCTGACCCAGGGGGGCCCAGGGGACGCTCTCTGTGCACAGGGACAAACTGGCCACTGGCAGAGCTGGAATCTGACCACCACCAAAGCCTGTCTTTCCCCTTCCCCAGGGCACACCCAGGCTCATGCGGGATGTCACAGCACTCTCCAGGGTTGTTACTGTCCTCTGAAGCCACCTGTGCCGCTCCTGAGGAGGAGGGGTCTAGAGGAGGGGGGTCAGAGGCCAGAGCTGGGCCCAGCCAGCAGAGTCCTCCCCACCCACTCTGCCGCCTGCAGGACCCTGGGCCTCTCCCTCCAGACTAGCCCTGCCCAGAGGGGCTTCCCCACATCTGTGCTGCCCAATGCAGTGGGCACCAGCGGCTGTGGATGCTCAGATTGAACCAGAGGTAGAGGAAGGAGAGGTCGGTCCTCCCTGCATTGGCCGCACTTCCAGGGCTCAGGAAGTGGAGATGTGGTGGGGAAGGGTCTGCAGGCTGCTGCTCCCCCGGAAGGTCCTGCCACAGCACACAGGGGAGGCTGGACCATCTGAGCCCCGGGGAGTGGGCGCAGCTTCACCCCCACCACACAGCACCTGGCAGAGCCGGGAGACACCTGGGAGGGTTTGCAGGCCCCAGGACTTCATCCCTGTCACCTGGCACAGGCTGTGCCTCCTCCCCAGGGCACCTTCCCCGGGGACCTTCCCTAACCCTTCAGCCACAGCCACCAAGAACTTACCCTTCTCTCAGGTCAGGGTTTGGAAGGTGGGTCCTGGTGGCTCCAGGTAGGGTCTAGCTGGGGACCCTGGGCCTGCGGTGTGGCCCCGGGACTGGTTCTGCCCCAGCCCCTTCAGAGCCTTGTGCCTTTGACCGAGGGACTTAGCTCTCTGGTCTCAGCAATGGGGGAGGCGCCGCAGGGTCGGGCTGCCCCGGCCTCACGGGTTGCTGGGGCATTAGATGCTTCAGCAGAGCCTGGCCTAGAGTCCCGCGTATCAGGGACATCCCGGTGCCTGAGGATGTGCCCCTCACTCTGGCCTTCCCAGAGCTCCACTCCAAAGCCAGGGCTAGGGCTGGGCCCTAGGCTCGACCCAGCTCAGAGGCCTAGTGCCCCTCCCACTGTGAGTCCCCTGCAGAGGAGCAGGGCTCTGTGAGGGGACCTGTGGGCTACAGGCTTCTGCAAAGGGGGCGGGTTAGATCAAGGAGCTTACGGGGGGCCCTTTAGAGCCTATCCCACCAGCCTGCCCACTTCACCCTGAGCATTCAAGTAGAGGACACATGTGGCCATCGCTCAAAACCAGACAATGTCCTGAGACTCCTGAGGAGCAGATCAGGGGCCAGGAAGGACAGGAGAGCTCCGTCATAACCCACGCTGCTGGGGCAGGTCTCTCTCGGCCTCTCCCACCACCTGCCCCTGCTGGACCTCACAGAATCAGCACTGGGCAGCTCTTCGGAGCCTGAGGAGACACTGAGGCAGGCCAACACTGCACTGGACCTGACTCCAGGACGTCTTAGGGCCAAGCACACACAGGACATGGACCACCTCATCCCAAAGCTTCCCCACTGCACCATCCAGCCCAGGTCAGGGTTATCCCTGGCCCAGGTGACCTGCCCAGTAGCAGGGGATCACACCAGAGGGGCACCCACAGCCACCCAGGCTCTGGCCCCGTGGGAAGGACAGTGAACCCACCATCTGAGTGAAGAGACACTGTTCTGGAAGGGGTCTGCCCCCAGCCACCTCTGGGGACCCCTCTCCACCCAGCAGCAGGGCCAGCTCCATGCCCACCCCATGCTGGGGCTGTGTCCAGGTCACACAAAGTGGCCCATGAGACCAGGGTTCCAGGGACCTCAGGGTATGAGGGCTGAGGGGACACTGTGCAGAGGGAGGGGCCTGGGGTTAGGTGGGGCAGGAGGCTGTGGACAGGATGGCAGCTGGGACAGGGTCCAGGACCTGGGGACCAACCTGATGGCTGAGCTGGGATTGAGGTGGTGACCTGGGTGACGTCCTCCCTGCTCAGCACCAGCCTCAAGTCTTCACTGAGCTCAGACCACGTGGACTTTAGGTAGCGGCAGCGATAACGCCCAGCAGTGTCCTCACTCATGGAGGGGAACAGGAACCTGCCCTCTCGCTCAGAAGGCGACGTGGCCCTCTTATCCCAGATCTGGGAGCTTCCCTCCTTCTCCAGGCGAGAGTCCTCAAACCCAGCAGGGGCTCGGCACACAATGGTCACGGGCCTCCCCCGGGGGATCACAGAGCCTGGCTCAGCAGAGATGGAGGGTCTGGGCAGGGCCCCTGGGAGGAAGCAGACAGCGGCTCAGCGTCCACTGGGAGGAGTGGCTGTGCCACAGATTGAATTCAGGTGCACAGCCCAAGGTTCTTGGGCAGCAGTTGTGCAGCACACACCGTTACCAGCCACAGTCCCCACGCAGGCCAGTGGCTTTCTTCCAAGAGGCCCCCTGGACTCCCTCCACCTCTGGCTACAGTGTCGTGAGTGACAGGCACCTGGGCATCCTGGGCAGAGTGGCTGTGCCACAAATTAAATTTAGGTGCACAACCCAAGGTTGAGTCTGTGCCCACCCCTCTCTGCCCTGGGCCAGGTCCAGGGGCCTCTGCTGAGCCTCTGCCTCGGGGTGTCCTCTACACTGTCCCCTCCTTCTCAGTCTGTTAGCACTTGCTGGCTGGTCACCTGCTGCACAGCTGGCCTCCTGCTCAGACCCCTCTGCCCACTGGAATGTCCCACCCTTGGGCCAACCCAGTCCATCTGCTCCCCTCATCTCCTCAGTCCTGGTCCCTGTCTGTCCACTCAGAGCCCCTCTGTGTGCTGACAGGAGCAGAAGAGGCACAGACACAGCCTCCTGGGGAGGGAGGACGGGCAGGTGAAGACCCTGTCCAGGTCCTTAGCTGTGACTCTGCACAAGTGTCCCTGGGCACATCAGGGCACAGAGGAGGTGACACTGTGCTCCCTGGGACATGGGGCACCTGGCTGAGACCTAGGAATGGTTTCGGGCCCCTGCCCCACCCACAGGGCCCAGGGTGGGAGAAGCCCAGGTGCCTGTCACTCAGGACACTGCAGCCAGAGGTGGAGGGAGTCCAGGGGCCTCTTGGAGGACAGCCACTGGCCTGTGTGGGGACTGTGGCTGGTAACGGTGTGGGGTGCACAACTGCTGAGGGGCAGGAACGGACGCTCTCCACCAACACGGGTAAGTGGGAGAGGCCAGGCCTGCTGACCCCACCTACCCACGCCCAGGTGGGCCATCAGAGCATCCTGCCATGTCCCCAGACACACAGCCACCATGTCAGGGGAGAGCACGGTGCTCAGCCCAGGAAACCACAGGAGACAGGCAGAGACACAGGGACCTGGCTGGGGGCCACACTGGGGTGCCCACGCGTGGGACACTGTTAAGGTCCCCAGGCTCCTGGATCCACATGCCCCTGTCCACAGCTGCCCTGTGAGGAGGACTGGGACCTGCACTCACCCTCCTGTGCATGGATCTCCTGGCCCAGGCAGAGCCCTGGAAGAGAAGCCCAGTGAGAAGAGCGCCCCGGTTCCCCCAGAGCTGGGCCAGCAGGGCCTGGTGGAGCCTGGGCACTCAGCCTCCCTGCTTCCCAGGCCACCTGCTCCCAGGGTCAGGGTGGCCTTCTTCCTGCTCTGGGGTGGCTGCGAGACCTCCAGGTCCCCTTCCAAGAGGCTCTCTGCTGCCCAGTCCTTCCCAAGGCTGGGCCTGTCCCCAACCCAGGTGTCGGCCTCTAGGACCCAGTGTTCCCTGGTCACACTGAGCCTGGGCAGAGGTGAGGGGCAGCCCCGGGGGAGGGCACAGAGTCTGCTGGGTTTGCTGGGCTCAGGCCTGTGCAGGGAAGGGACCTGTTCCTGCCCTGTCACCTCCACCCACCCAGTCCCCACCGTCCAGGACTCACCAAGGGCCAGGAGGACAATGGAGCAGGGGGCCATGGCTCAGGCTCCTGCAGCCTCCCTGTCTGGAGCTGGGCCCCACAGAGGACACAGGGGACAGGATGTGCTGGCTGGGCCCTCTGGGGTGTCTACATCATGCCCCACAGAAAGAGGAAGAGGTCGGTGCCTCCTTTCCTCTTCCCACAGTGACAGAGGGAGTCCTCGGCTGCTGGGACAGTTCTGACCTGTGCTCAGATGTGCTGAGTGTCCCCTGACCTGTGGCCTCACTGTAAATCTAGGGGACAAGGCAGAACACAGGCCCTGCTACAGACTGACTGGGTCCCACCAGCTCCACAAAGAGCCACTGTCTGTCCTGGGAAAGACGTTACACCCCTAAAGCTGGATGTCCTCATGCTCAGTGTGGGAACCGCACTCCTGCTGAGCCTCTAAGGGAGCATTTGCCAAAGTCCAAACAGGACATTAACACCTTGAGGGTGTCCCAGTGTAGATAAAGACTAGACCAAGGCGGAGCAGGCCAGAGTGGAAGGGACAGTCCCCAAGTGCCTTGAGCACAGCCCTGGTCTCACCTTGAAGGTGTCCTAGTGTAGATCAAGTTTTTTAAAAAGGACGAGTGTTGACAGAGACGTAGGAGAATCGGGTCACACTTTGGTATGACTGAAAAATGTGAAACTGCCATGGAAACTATGGAAATTCCTCAGAAAAATTAAAGCTAGCACTGCCATGTGACCCAGCAATCCTGCCGAAGGACATGAGATGGGCCGGTGGAGGAGACGTCTGCAGTGCCGAGTCGCTGGCACGTACCACCACACCCGGGTCCCCACCTCATATCCTAAAGCAAATTCCTTACCTGGGAATAGTTTTAGATTTGCAAAGAAGCAGAGAGTCCCCGCATGCCCATCCAGTCCCCGCTAAGTTCCCATCTCGTAGAACCACACTGCGTCCGTCCATCAAAACCAAGAAACGCAATTGTTCCAATAACACGGGCCAGTCACTTCCCCATAAACTCTCATAAATACGAACCTGGACACCCCTTTCCTCAGAAGCCACGCAGCCAACATGCGTCAATTGCTAGTTACACCTTCGGTGTCTGAAATTCAGGAGTGAGTGGCTGGGGGTGGTGGCACACGCCTGTGATCCCAGGGACTCAGGAGGCGGAGACAGGCTGATCATGAGTTCAGAGCCAGCCTTGGCAACTTAGTGAGACCCTAAGAAACTTAGCAAGACCCTGTCTCTAAATAAAACACAGAAAGGGCTGGGGACATGGCTCCGTGGTTAAGCACAAAAAAAAAAAAAAAAAAAAAAAATTCAGGAGTGAACATAAAGGTACACACGCTGCCCTCAAGAGAGTTCCTGATCCAGCGAGGGAGATGGAATCAACAGCCAGTCTCAAGTGATTTAACCCCCGCCGGGGGGTCAGAATTAGGGGGAGTTAGGGGAACACTGGCCAAGGCAATGGGTTAACCCTCAGACCCCAGGGGCTGCCCACGAAGGCTCACTGCTCCCGTGGGTGGGTCCCACCATCCTCCTGGATGAAGATGACCTCGGCTTCCAGCCAGAAAGAGAAGAAGAGTGTGGAGGACCTCCGTCCACCTGCTGGCCCGAGGGCCCCCGCATCATCCTTGGTAGTAAAGAGTCAGGTGGTCACCCTTGGATGCAAGGGAAAACCATCCCTGGTGGAAGCCACTTCCCGGGAATTCTACAAGACCACGAAAGGGAAATCACATTTATTTTGGGGGGAGAGCAGCAGACCTCTCTGCTTGGTGAAGAGGAATCAGATGTTCGGCAAATGAGCACAGTCCCATGGCCCCCAGCACGGCCCCCCTCCCCGGAGACCCACTCCTGTGCTCAGTGGAATGGCCGCCCGCAGCTGTGGGTGACACGAGAGGGAGGCCCCAGGCGCCCTGCAGAGAGCAGCTCCCGGAAGGCGGCTGCACAGACCACCGGGATGGAGGGAGCAGGGGTGGCCGGCTGTGGCTTCTCCTCCACTTTCCTGAGCTCTGCTTCCTAGGGCCCAGTTGTGCCCGTCTCTGAACATGAGGGGCAGGGCCTGAGGTCAGGTACCCATCCAGCCCCAAATCACCCGCTCTGCTCTGGGCCCCCCTTGGCCAGGGCACGTCCTGAACTGGCTGTGGCTCTGGATGCCACGGGGAACGTGGACATTGTCCTGGAGTCCAGCACCGTCTCTACCCTTGGGCCCCAGATGTTCTCATTCATCTGGGTGGAACTGGGAGGCCCAGCAGGCTGCAGAACTCTTCCGGTGATGGAGACGCTGAGAAGTTATCTGGATAGGAATTCGAATCTGGAGTCTCGTGAGCTCCAAACACTCGGGAGTTTACACCCCAGAGTCACCCCCCAAACCAGCCCTGCCTCACCCAATGTCAGTTTTCCTGGTGGGAGTCAGTTAGAGATCAACCTTCATGGTTTAGAGAACGAATTGCCCACCTGTGCTCAGGTGGTGGGGCCCCAGCAACTCGACAAGAGATCTCCAGAGGGGAAATGCTCAGAATGCCACTCAAAATCCGTACTTGATTAAGTCTCTCAGCTCTTGGTTCCAAGCTGGGGCAGGGAGGCCTGGGGCTTGGGTGGATAATGCCCTCCTGTCACTGTCCCTGCTTCTCTGAATTGCCCTGGCCCCGCAGCACGGGACCAAGCAGGACTCGAGTGTAGGGAGAGACCCGCCTTCCCGGTGTCGGGGCCTCCTGGCCTCCCAGCCCCCTGGCCTCCAGCCCACAGGCGTCCTTCTGCCAGCTCACGCCTGGTCAGGGGCCCAGGAAGCAGACATGCTGGCATGGTGCTGCCCCACACCCGCGATGCGCACACAGGCTCAGGATGTGGTCAGAGCCCCAGCACAGACGTTTGTGGGTTTCTAGCAAGTGTCTCATAGAGAGGTCCTCCCGAGGTCTGGTTCCTCTTCCCTTGCTTGGGAAAAGGAGAACCATCGTCCTCAGACATCCCCGGCCACACCTGTGTCCAGCCTGGACGCCATCCCTGACCCAACGCCAGGTCTAAATGGGCAGTGTTGGCCACCGGGTCCTGGAGGAGGCTGGGAGCAGGCTGGGAAGTGGGACATGAGCATCTCAACACATGGGAACCTTCCACAGGTCACCCCAGGAGGCTGAGCAACGTCCCCTGCCCCACGGGAACCAGCGCTCACTCTTGGGGTGTCCACAGAAGGCCTAGGGGGATGCACAAGTTACAGGGCTCACAGGCCCGTGGGGACCAGCAGCTTCCCAGCAGGCCACCTGGGCTGTCAGCGGCCCATCAGGGGCTCACTGTCTCTACAGGTGGGCGCCTGGCAGCTGGGTCCTTCTGGGCGGTGGCCAGGCTGCTGGGATTCCTCCAGCTCTTGGCGCCAACGTGCCCTAGAGTCCTGGAGGGAGGGAGGGAGGGTGGCAGTGGGCATCCTGTGGCATCCATTCCTGCTGCCCATGTTCTGGTGGTGCCAGTCAGCCAGGGAGCAGGGGACAGCAGTGAGGACCTGCAGCAGAGAGACCTGGTGTCACAACCACAGCTGCTGGTGCCAACACAGCCCCAAAGGAAAGGGAACCCCGTGACCCTGGTGAAACGGGAACTCGCCTCGTGGCAGACCGCAGGGAAGGACACCAAGCAAGCAGGAGCCCGGGGTGGGGAGTCGGCCCAGGAGCAGGGCACAGGGCCCAGGGCCCAGGGCTGAGGACAGGAGATGGCTCTGCCATCAGGAAACGATTTCACCTGTTCCAAGAAGGAGAGTCAACACAAGTGGGGCAGTGACGGCTGAGCGGGCCACCTGGGAGGCTGCTGGAGATTTGGGATGCTATCTTTAGGAATGTGGGGAGGGTTTTGAGCATAAGCAGGCATAATCATATTTTTGTCTAAATATATCTGCAGGAACCCTTCGTGGAGACAGACTTGCAGAAGGCAGGAAAGAACAGCAGGCTGGGGGCGTCGCTGAGTGGCCCCGCGCAGGACCCGCACGCGCAGGGCCTGGGTTCACCCCCAGCTCTGCAAGGAAGGAGCAGTGGAGAAGGGGTATAGCGGGAAGGGAGGGGAACAGCAGCTCACACGTTCTGAGCCGGTACTGTGCGCCCAGCACTGCTCCGGTCCCCCATGGACAGTTCCCCCAACTCTCACAGCTCCGTGAAGGTGTCTGTGAGGGTGTCATTGTCAGACCCGTTTCTAGATGAGCACACCGAGGCTCTGGGGTTAATGAGTCCGAGTGGCGCTGGGCTTGAATGGAGCTGCATTTCGACCCAGGGCCAACGCTCTGTGCCACCTGGACTGCGGCACCATAGCCTTCGTTAGAGGGGGAACACCGGTGTGGACAGAGCGGCTGGGAGGTCCCCGCGTCCAGGAGACAGGGAGGTGCTTGGATGGGTGGGTAGACCTCGGGCGGGGGGACAGGCTCCCGAGGGGTGCAGATGGAATGTTGGCTCTGGGAATCTCTTCACTGGGTTATTTTAGACTTAACTTCTCACTGTAAAAAAAGAAAAAAGAATCAAGAAGATGAACCAAAAAATAAAGAACATGTGTTTGCAGCCTTGGACCAGCCCCAAGGCAGGGGAGTTGAAGGCTCCCGAGGAAGGAGGGGACGTGCCTGGTGGGGACGCTGCACACGGAGGGCCTGCAGGGACATGGCCAGGAGGTCCAGGGCGTGGGAGAGGCGGCAGGACCGAGGAGGATGAGAGCCAGAAGCATCCTCCAGAGCGTTGTGGCCAGCGTTTCCTGAAACTAAGGAGGCCTGGGGCCAGGCGGCTCGGAGCCCCCTGCCGTGGCGGACCTTCTGGTCCCCGCCCACGCTGCGCTCCTCCTGCACTGTCCACACTTCAGCTCAAGACAACTCTACTCTTCCAGTTTTTCAGGCTTAAAGAAAAATAAGGCCAGGTGCAGTGGCCCACACCTGTCCGCCCAGCGGCTCTGGAGGCCGGCAGGAGGATCACAAGTTCAAGGCCAGTCTCAGCATCGTAGCAAGGCCCTAAGCAACTGAGTGAGATGCTGTCTCCAAATAAAATATAGAAAGGGTTGGGGATGTGGCTCACTGGTAAGGCACCCCTGGGTTCTCTCCCTGGAAGAAAACACATATAGACATATATATACACGTGTGTGTGTGTGTGTGTGTGTGTGTGTGGATAGATAGGTAAATGGTAATAAAGTGGCAATAGAACACAGTAAACATGCAAGCCGCTGTGGTCACTCTGCTCACGAACACCCAGGGCTTCCCCGTGGGTCCTACTCACGGGGTCAGCACTAGGTCAGTGCTGACTGAGTCCCCCCTTGCTGGCTCTGGAGCAGCCTCCTGTCTCCCTGGGTGGGTGTGCCCAGAATGTGCCCGCCT